AAATATTAATTACCGACGCCGAAACATGGTTTTCGTTCCATATATTACACGATGTATAAATTTTAATAACCTTACATATACTTTAGGCGAATAATAATATTCATATTAAAAAATGTTTTAAATTCATACGAAGCACTCAAACATAATTATAGCTTTATATGTACTTTGTTACAATTGTAACAATGCTTCATTTCACATTGAAAACGGAACCCATGGAAAAAAAAACGTATGAATAATTTTCCAGGTTATATAATCTGCTGAACTTTCTACATCGTACTTCTTTATTTTAAGAATACAAATCGTCAAATTTGCATAACTCTAATCCTACCAGTAATTTTATTACCCGATACGAAAAAAGCTAATCCACGTTTAAGAACAAACAAAGTTACTATGCAAACTCTCTGAACGTAAAATTACTTAGCAATGTTCTAAAACATACTAACCCAAAATATTGTGTAACGTCATATTAGAACCATAAACCATGAATCTCAGCTAACTCTGTAGACAACCATCACCCGAACCCAAGATTTATGCGTTCACAACAAGTTGCAAAACACAAGATCAATCTGTTGGAAATACCTTTCCGACACGTTTCGAATCGTCTTTTGTCACGAATTTCCATCCAAGTGATCGCCGTGCCGGCGTTTAGTTCTGGTACTATAAATAACTTTCTGCCTATTTAGGAATGGTATCGTGACCGGCCGCCGCACGGCTATCGCTAAATTGTTCTGACGTTTGGCCGTCTCTATGAGTACTTGGCATTTCATGGAGGGACTTAAGGACGGCGATTTGCGTGGGATTGGAATGTTTGGGCGCGATCACGTTTTGCTGAAAACATATGTCTGCGAATGTACCACCTATTCCAGACCATCGACCCTCTCTGACGAACTATTTAGACGTTCGGCATATTTGTTACGATGTTAATAAATAATCGAATCGAACGAACGATCCGGTTCGAAATACCTTCGCGATTCAACTGAACGTGTACAATGTAGGGCACAACATCGAAGTGTTGTACAATCGGGCAAGGTATAATTCTTCGCTCAGAGATACGATAAAAGTGTTGTAGAATCAATCTTTCCGTCCGAAGTTTTGTTCGTGACTTTTGTTTGAAAGAGAGAGAGAGTTATGTTTGAAATGTTGTATACTGTTTAGGTTAGAGATAATTTATCTTTTCCAACCGTGTCTATGTTTATCGGAAGAAAGTTCTCGTACAGAGGGTTAAAATGGCGGATACGATATCTCTTGAATGAATAAACCAGTCGATTTGTCCCCATCCCTATATATACAGGGTGTCCCAGTTTTTTCCGATCAAACTTTGTCAGTATGTTCGATGAGCATAGGTAAGACAGAAAGGTTATGTAAATGTAGGTCGTTCGAAGCTTCGTTAAAAAATTATAACAATAATACGAAATACAAAGGGAAATGTAATTTGTGCTAGTGCCATTCTTGTCTTCGTTACCATTCCCTTCGTAATATTTCATATTATTGTTATAACTTTTTAACAAGGCTTCAAACGACCTATGTTTATATAACATTGTTTTCTTACACATATATCCACAGAACATACTGACAAAGTTTGACCGAAAAGAACTGGGACACCCTGTATATATCCGTTGCGTGCGCGTGATTCTTTCTACGGATTAATTTATACCTGAAATTGCAAATTTACCGCGACAGAGCTTAATTACTGGTAAATCTTAGGAAGGATTATACAGCGGCTGGTTGTTGATGCGTACACGATTAGAAGCAGAAATGAATGGGACGTTTAAATCAAGCCGAGAATTATCGTACGAGCTCATTAGACCTGCGAATTGAATCGTTTTAGAGCAAAAAAAAAATGAGAAACCTGTTAGAACACTTTTTTTTTTCTTTGCGTTTCTTAGAATTCTACAATGTATACGCTACATTTTTATCACTTTTCATCGAAGTTATATTACATATAGTGTAACTCAGCAGGAGACTTATTAGTGGAATTTTAATGAGAATTATATAAAAAGCAACAGTGCTGGTTTTATGTATGCAAATTTCCTTGTAACAGTGACCCGAACGGAATCACTTACAACGTAGGATAGTAAGTGGAGCGCCAGAACTCTCTGTTCCAGGAAACTTCGATTCTCGAAGCGCATAAAAGCGTTGCGGTCGAAAACGACGCCGATGCTGGTTCGTTCTTTCACCTGTTATCAAGGAGACTTCATTCACCGCGATACGATGGCGCAATCTGAATGGTGCTGCCATTAAGCGGTCGCCTTGCTCAAGTAATCTCGCTTCCTTCAAATTGAATCCACATTAATCTTAACAGTACGTGTATAAGGCGTTCAAACCTGAAAGCATTTTTCGAGCTAACATTTATAATGAATCCAAATGTATCTGCCATGAATTTAATAAATTTTAACGATATCTTTTGTTTCATTCAATGATCATTTTGAGGTATCTAATGAAAATAGGTTAATTAGAATAAACATGATTGAAATATGTATTCCTTTATCAACACCTTTATTTACTTATTTAAATATTGCAGCTACTGACACACGTTGGTAATGGACGATGACATTTTTTCATGAAAAGCGAAGTTTCATCTCGTCGTAATAAGATCATTCCTAATAAAAACCAAGTTCAAACATAACCTAGATCCGACTATTTTGAGATAAAGAACAGTTTATAGCAATATCCGTTAGACCAACGCATGGATGAGGCCACGTGCCAGTATACGCACACCCCATGAGTTTCCAACATTAATTTCAGAATAAAACGAATCTTCTTATCAAAACATAATGCCCTACATTTTCTGTCAACATTTTTCGCGTAGAATCACCTCATTTAAAATGTAACACATAATATTCGGTAATACTCTCTAGAACCGCTAGATGCCAGTGACGAATATTCGTATACGTTCGTTTTATTTCCAATATAACGCTCGCGAATGTCATTGCATGCAACTAAGAAAAGTATTACAAGCATTTCCAACAATGTCTGGGATGTACATGCAACTTTTTTCCTTTTACGTGCACGCTATTTTATTTTTCCAGCTGCAGCGGTTACCGGGCTAATATTTCCCTTCTGAGACGACAACTTTACCTCGACTGCCTTTCGCGCGATAGACGTTAAGATCTGGCCGGGCAGTTCGACAAGTGCTCGCCTCGTCTGTATATACGTATGCATATCGCATGTCGCGCGTGCACCGAAGAGAAAGAGAGTGCAGGGACCGTCTCTCGAATCCGGCCACGCGAGCCCGTTGCAGTAAAGGCAGCCAGTTACTAGGCAGACACACTCCGATCCGATGCAAATTTTCTCGACACCCGAGAGCACAGATCTGCTAGGCGTGTAGGCGAGAGATGTCCATCCTCTTACAGGACCAGTCTTCTACGCGTATGAGACGCGACGACGTTGGTATTGGTGCCATAGGCGTCACCTAGAGTTGGACTCGTACAACGGTGGAATGCAAAAATAGCCCCGAGTTTCCTGTATGCCTCGAATTGTTTGGTATTCCGATTGTCGCGGCTGAATGTACTTACTAGTGGTAATTGTCGTGTTGAGAAAAGCTACTTACGATAATTGAAAGTGAGAAAATCTAAGGTTTCGTGGGGGGATAAGTTACCTGTTAACTGTTTTAAATTACTTGTTTACTTGAAGACAAACGTAGGACCCCCACTATGAAATTTAATCAAGTATTATTTTATATTATTTGCTAATATCTTGCTTTGTATTTGCTCTGTTCTGTAGTTTTGAAAAGAGAAAATGCAAATATGCAAACACGTGCTTTCTATTTGAAGTAACTTTCTGAAAAGAAGTGAAGTAAGAGAGACGTCATTTGTATCGATTCTTATAACCTAAAAATAACTTTAACAAGTTGATTAATTTTTTGCAAATTTCACGATAACTTAGTGAGTCCGGAATTTCTAAATTCTATACTCATAATATTAGTATTATACATTTCTCCATTTTTTCTCTAATGCGCATTTCAAATTCTTCAACGTAATAGAAGTTTCACAGATACTTGTGCAATTATGCATACATATGTCTATGCGTATGGAATTTGATACAATCAATTGCCACTTATTTAAGAAGTGAACATGATTTAGAAGTTGCATAGGAATACAGTTCACCCATTGGGTAAGTCTAGAAGAAACCCATTTGCCTCGCGTATGGTGGCGCCCATGGCTGGTACACAGGACCGGCACACATCGTGGTGGTTGATACACGGTGCCTATTGGGCGACTCTGTAGGTACATACGTACGACTCCGCAGAATCACGTGCAACTTTCCATATCGAGGAGTTTTATAGCTGCGCCTCGGTAGTGGGATAACTAGGGGCGCCTACACGCGTTCGACTTCGAACCGTTTCGAACAGAAGTGGTCAATAAGACAAACATTCGCAAACGCGGGACTGCATTTGTGAAACGTGAATGCCGGGAGTACCATCGAAGGAAAGAGATGTTCTCCGCTCACACGAAACACGTAGAAACGCTTCAGATGGAGCGGCTCGATACAACGTCTTGTAGCTATAATGCGTAAAGCTATATAGAGAAGCGAGAACTGAGGGGTTTGTATGGGAATGAGAGAAGTGGATTTTATTATTCCGAAGAGGGATTCGTGCTTTCTTCCTTAAGTATTTGATACCTCTGCTATTATTAGTTTATGCTAATTGGATATATAGTAATATAATTGTAGTTTAATTTTTTCTTTGAAAAATTACATTTTTTAGGAATGGAGCAGATGGAGTCAAATAAAATGGAGAGGGTTCGAAAATTTGAGATTCAATAGGAGTTTCATTAGTTGTAAAATAATAAAAATGTATGTATATGAATATGGTAGTATAATAATTTATTATACAACGTAAATCGTACAAAAAATGACAGTCTATTTTAGACTATGTCCGTTGCCAATGCAACTTGTTCAACGTCGTATCTTTCACGATATTTTACAGTATATGTACAAGATAAATAGTCACATATACAAGTGAGAGTTAATTACTTTTTAAATTAGAACTATAATTATTTCTAAAGTTCAGACATATCTAGTAGAGCATTTAAATGTGTTGGCATCCAATTCATGCCATTGTGACACACGAATAAGACGTTTCCGTCTATGTAAGCTTGAACATTGCCCACTTTATATACTTGTTTTGCTTCTCTGTACCGATTCGGTATAGGCATAAACAAAATACCTCTTTCTTCGCATTTCTTTTGAACAAGGTCTTTGAAACCTTGAGGTATTTGTGATGCTGTCCTAACTGCTTCCGCAAGTCTCTGTAAAAGAATAAATATATCGTTATCAATGTTATAAAATTTACATATTATTACTATTTGTATGTAATTCTTGTAAATTAAATCGTACCTCCATTCTTGGCTGAGCAGTTGGGGGCATTTGTGACATAGTAGGTTGAGTCCTTTCTAAACTTGTTAAATACGAAACTTGTTCCATTGCACCAGGTTGATGACTCTGCGGCGCGGAAACTGCTCTGTTCATCATGTCTAATGCTTTCTTAAAATGTTCTGTAAATGAATAAAGATACAAATATATTATTTTCAATAACTTACTTCTCAGAATATATATCAGACTTAATATTATGCGAAATACTTGCCTTTTACTAATGGTTCACCCAATAGTTTTTCATTCAACATACTTTTCCATCCCATGTACCAATTCGTAACTTGATCATAGTTAGGGGAATGATTTAACCAAAGTGCCAAAACTTGTAACCATTTAGGGAAGAAGAATTTATCGAGTAATCCCGCCATTATATGCGATGGAATTAATTCCTTCCATTCATATACCCAATTCCATTGATCCAAATGTTGTTGATGTGGGTTTATAACAAATTCCGAAAGTGCGATTTGTAATTTTGGAATGATATTTTTCACTAAGAAGGCCTCCATATCTCCTTTCGCGAAGACATTAGCCCATGGTTGTAACATTAGCCTAGCAGATCTGTCAGATGGGTGCCAGCCACCCAATGCAGATCCCAGTTTTCGCCGTATTATGGGATATATTAAAGTATCCAAACGGTTCCCTATAATATTGTAGTATTGTGAAACCAATATTATTATAAAATTAATAAGATTTAATTTTGAATATTTTTAAATATGTACTTACGTAAAAGTGGTAACCAAGGATGAATCCATGTATGAATGGGTACTGTGTCGGTAAGAGGATTCCATTCTTCCACTTCCAAGGTAAGTTTAGGAAGTATTAACAGATCTAAAATATTTTCTAATATCCAGTTTGGGAGTAATGGTATCCAATGCTCTATTAATTCAATTAACGGATCTGGTTGTCTACACGTCCATTGCCTACAGAAAAATTCAGTAAAAATTATTCTAAACACTTTATTTCACAAGTGTATTAATGATTTCCATTTTTATAAAATAAAGTACTTACTGTGTAGCCCCTCTAATTGATGGCATCCATGCATTCCAAACAAGTTGGTCATATGGGTGCATAGTTCTTGTTTGAAGAGTAGTAGTACCACTCTCTAAAATACTCTTCCATTGTTCAAACAATTTGATTGGTTGTTTCGGTTGCATTAGTGGATTCCAGCTAACCAGACAGTCTTTTATCTTAGGACCAACAAAACTACTAGCCAATTCACCAAGTTCATACATTTTGTATTCTTCATAATATTTATCTTGTAAGTCTTTAAAAGCTTCTGCAGTTTCTTGTAATGTCAGTTGGTTTGTTTCATCCATCAACCTGTCTACAATTGAAAGGACATTTTCTAAAGTATCAATAAGCTGGCCTTGTTGGTCAATAAACTTGGATAAATTTTTTTTCTCAGCTTCCAGTGCAATCACTCTGTCACTCAAGTGCCTTGTCCTTCTGTCATTTTGAATAATATCCTGTTCACACATGTCCACAAGTATGTTTAAATTATGCTGAAGCTCAGGCAGTGCAAAGTAAACCTTAGATTTTTTATCAATGACAACAACGTTTTCGTCGGGACGTTGTTGACCTCCAGCTATTGCGTGATATCCACTAAGAATTCTTTGTTCTGGCCCAGTCATGTCTATAACTTTCACCCTACTCATCTCATTAGATATTCTCACTTTTTTATTAGGTTTTAATTTTCCATCCTCTAAAACTTGATCAACACTGCGATACACATAATTTACTTTCTTCTTTGTAGCATTTCCATCTCCTTTTCTCCATTGTGATAACTTAGCTTTGGTTTCCTTTCCTTCTTCTGCTTCCTCTTCCTTTTTCTTGTCTGGAACTTTTGGACCTTTTTCTGGACCATAAGCACCAATAGCACCTCTGCCTTTCCTCAAATGTGCTTCCACTGGTGCACTGATACCTTGTAACTGTTTACCCAGCCCTTTCCCAGGTTCAAACCCCATCTAAATCATTATCAAATTAATATGTATAAATATATTTTTATAATGGCACCGATGAAATGATTAATATTTGATATATACCTGCAGCAACAACTTAGCTCCAATACCTTTTGTATAGACTTCCCAGCTGCCCATTCCACTTTGTATTAGTACAGGATTGACTTTGTGCTTCTTTTTACGTAACCCTGCAATATCTCCATCTATATTTAATGAAAATGATGTACGTTGCTGCATACTACTGGGCCTTTCATCATCAGAACTGTAACAAAGTAAATATTGTATTATCCATATTTATATAAACATTGCTACACTAAATAAATTTTATTATATGCAGCCTACCTTGAACTATTTGGAAATTCCTTTTGTGACCTATTTGCACTCTCACTGTCACTATCATCATCATCTTTATCACCTGATTCTTCCTTTGGCTTTCCAGCTTGTTGAATACCACCAGCTACAAAATTTACAGGGGTTGTATAATTTTTTGGTCCTTTATCAAAAGTTTTAAACGATGGTCTGGCAGATAATTCATCTTCGTCGCTATCATCTGCCCAAATACCTGGAATAAGATAGTTTTGGTTAGCTTTCAAAGTTTACATCAGAACAAGTATAAAATCTATTTTATTATTAAGTAATGTAAAAAAATTATTAATGCAAAAAAAACTTACCAAGCATCTGCTGCTTTTTTGTTAATTTTCGTCTAGGACGATTAATATTGAATTCATTATCAAGGTCATAATCCGTAATTTCAAAACTTTCTACTTCGTCTTCCGACATTTTGTCAGAGTTTGTTAATACTGTGTATAATTTAAATGTAAAACAATTGTAATTATATTCAATTATATTCAACTATGTTATAAACACTGGATGCCATATGGGAACAAAGCAAAACAATAATCGGACTATCAACCATTAGAGGTTATGTTTTGTTACATTCCCATGGAACTGAACTGCATTCGTTTGATTCCCATCTAGCAGTGCTACCAGAATATGCTGCGCAACGTCATATCAGTATGTACACCTAAGCGCAAATTATTACGTTTCAGGAAACATTTTATTACATAATTTTAATATTTATTATGAAAAAAGATAAGCAGATTTTATTTCTATACTTAACTAGAAAAAAAAAAGTTCAAAGTGGTTGTTTCAAATATTTAAGATTATATCATATCTTGAGCTTTCAGCCAATAATTTTTCCTCAGAGATAGGGAAGTTATCAAACTGAATTTATCTTATAATAAAACAGGCTTAGTACCCAACAAAGCTACCAATGTTCAAATAATATATTTTAAATATCGTATAAACATATTTCTCATTTCTTTTTCTAATTTATTCTCAAAAATTATAATTATAAAACGAATATTTGTATAAATTCTTCTAGATAAATTGAATTTAATTTCAAATTAAGATTTATAACACAGAAAAGACATTCGATTTTAAAGAGATGTCGCTATACACGCAAATTCTCAAGTTGGCAGTGCCGCAAGCTAGGGTTTTGCAAAAGCTACAAATAATTTTGGGTAGTGGCTTTGAGTAACATCGTAACCTTACGACGCACAACCAACACGGGTTATCGTATGTTATTAATGATTTACCGGGGTTTTTAAAATAATCCGTATCTCATCACTGCCAATTTATTGTATAGATTAGTGTTAGTGGTAACCGTGTTAGTGCTGGTTGTTTGCTTGTGCCGGTTTGTTGTTGCATCTTCGTTAAGAAAAAATTCATTTGACAATGGGAAACGTTCATACCTGTGGTCCAAACGAAGCTCTCGTTGTATCAGGTATGTAAATAAATGAGAAACACTAATTTTTTTTATGGCTTAGTCAAGCGGTGCAATATATTATCCTAGAGCTGCCACGCTTGATTTCTTTCGAGAGCTTCTGTCAGCGGTTTCGTGAGAAATAACATTAATCGTTGTGTGTCTTAAAATTTCAAGGATTGTTGTTTGAATATGGTTTATATAAAATGATTTGTCCACCTACAAAATTAACCAATTGATGGACTCTTATCATCTGACAGAATACTGTCCTTGTCTGTATCCGTTTAGTATGTTTGGCTTCACACATAGTGACACTTAGTTTGTGCATGTGTAAGCAGCTAGTCATTTAGTACAGTGCAAAGAATATAATTGCTGAGGAATCTTAATTACTTCCTGACATCAGGAAACTTGTCATTTGTGTGTTACAAATACAATTTAAAATAACATTTCATGCATGCAATATTATTAATTCAGGGGTAAAAAAAAACATCAAATTTTGAAAAATACATTATGCAATGCAAAACTATCAATCACTTGTAAAATCTACCAAAGGCATAAGAATATTGTATAGATTGTTCTATTTTATTAAATCAGAATATTAGTTTTATTGAAAAAGCATGTCCATAGAGGAACTTTAGAAATGGGCCAAGTAGTCTGAAGGTGAAATTAATAAACTCATATGTACTGCTGTAGTTAAACCAAGGCAGTTGAATATCAGACCATAAAATGAACGATCTATGTATCCACAGGAGAGAACATCATTAATGTGATGTTTCGATAAAACATTTTTACCAATCTATATTATTAGATTTTTCCATTTATGTGTATATATACCTCTCAAATAAATCTTTTCCTCAAAACTAATTACATTACATCTGTACAAAGATGATCAACTTTTCGTATTCCTAAAAATCATATTGCCTACATATTTGCACTTATGCACATACGTATTGATTTCACTAATGCGTTACAGATGAATGAGTCACATCTAACCTCCTTATTTGATCTTCCTCCATTTCATTACTAGTGACATGTGATAACTTTGATAAGTGCAAGAGCATATTTCAAGTGCAAAGTGTGTATGTACCTATGTCAATATTATTTAGATTTTCCTTCAAAAATGTAAAGAAGACTAGCAATTCTGAACAACAAGAATTAGTGTAATTTATGTTAATGTTACAGTGTGTGTGAAAAGAAATGAGATAAAGCTTGTCATATGTTGTAGAGTAATTATCTCTTCACAAATGCAATATGCATACATGAAAATATAATGAACCGGTTAGTTAGAGAGTGTTGCAAACAAATACTAAGAACACAGTTATTGTTCGTTCATTATCGCTATCCTCGAATTTTACGTAGAAACGTATCGAAACGTGAAGTATGACTCATCCCAACATTTACGTCATCATTGATGAACCCATTGCATGCTTTTACACATAAAGTTACCTTTTACCGGAATGAACAACGATGTGGGTCATCCGATTGTTGCACGACGCGTTCTGCACGCAAATAATTTATCTCTCGCCCGACTAATGAAGTGAAATTACTTTTTCCCCTTAATGGCGCTACACGATGCGGCTTTTAAATGGAGAAATGCTTTTTACTGCTGCCGCGTTATACGCTTAACCTGCTGCTTATTTGTAAATACAGATAGCGAAAATAAAAAATTCTTCAATTTTCACATTTTTGTGGCGAATTTATTTTGGTCACGTAGCACGGAATTTTTTCAACGAGCGTGATCGTTTTGTGTGTGTATTTTAAAGAGAGGTCTTAATTTAGAAGGTGGAAAGAATGCAAATTTATTTTCTAAAAATTTTTGCATCTTTCACGTTTGTAAAATGAAATTGTAAATTTATTTTTCGTAATTCGGAAAATTGAAATTTTATAAGTAACATATTTTTTCCAAAGAAATAAAGAAATACAGAAAAAGGCGAGTGAAGCCAGTATTTTTCGTAATTCGGAAAATTGCAATTCTAAAATTAATATTTTCTTCCAGAGGAATAAAGAAATATAGAGAAAAGCGAGTGAAGCCAGTACTGTTTGTAATTCGAAAAATTGCAATTCTAAAACTAATATTTCTTTCCAGAGGAATAAAGGAAAAATAGTACCGTTATAGGTTATGTCGATTATACGCAAGGATTATACGGCTTAAAAATTGCGAAGACCTTTTTCTTAATCACCTCGTAGATCTTAATATTAAATTTGGGCTGAAAGGATTCTCGTTCGTTGGTAATTCCCCATTTATCACCACTTGCTATTTTTACCTTTATTATGAAGAAGACGCGAAACAAGGATATTACGTAATTCGTCTGGTACGCGTTAATATAAATGCGATTTATTTTTACTCTTGTTGGTTCGTGTTCTTTTTATCATAAACGAGCCGTATCGCTCGCAGCATTCTGTCTGACGAATATTTTCTGATTATTTTATTTTGTAATCGATAAATTCCTGTACAGTCTGTTTATTGTACTGGAACAGAATTACGAAGTATGAAAAGTAGAAGTGAAACAGTTCGAGGTTGATAGTAAATACATGGTTCTATTAAAAATAACACTACAATGATATAAACAATATTGTATTTGTCGATGTTTTAAGAAACATGGTAAGAAAATATTTACGAAGAATTTTCTTTTCAACGTCGATTTCGTGACCAGTGGGGCCGAATATGTCTCGCTTGAAATTCTCCACAAGTGTCAGTCCGCAAGGAACCTAAACCTGACACTTGTAGAATCAGGGACTACGTTTTCGAGCCTCGCGCCCGCCTTTGTAGTTTGCCGAACGTAGACAAGGACAGCGAATAAAGATAAGGATGAAACGTGAGTCGAGGCAACCAAGCGATTTAAATATCAACTTTTTTAATTTCACGTTTTTTTATCCCGAAATTTTTCTTAACATATTGATGAGATTTTTCTGATGAAAATGACATCAAACACGACTTAATTTGAACAATTACTTATTAACACGTTCACTGTCTGGCGTGACAGTGAATAAGTAAATGTTGTTCAAATTATATCGTGTTTGATATCATTTTCATCAGAAAAATTTCACCAACTTGTTAAAAAAAATTTCAGATGAAAAAAAGGAAAATTAAAGAAATTATATTTTTCTATTATGAATTGTCGAGCCGTGAAATCTCGTAAAAGAACAGACCTAGGCGTAGGACCATCTATACTGACACTTGTAGAATCCAAACTGACTGACACTTGTAGAGAATTTACTGTACTTAGTATTCATTCTTAACGCTATGATCGGTAGCCAGATTAACAATACTTTCATACGTGACATCAAAGTGACAAGCAGAATCAGCAAAAAAATACAATTTCATATTTTTCATACAAAAACCATCTGTCTTTCAAAACTTAAAAATAACGAATATAAAATTCATAACCGTTCAATTAATTACGAACAATACCATCGTACAAAGAAACAAGTAAAATCGTCCTTACACTGTTCTTGACCACCAAACATTTCACAACCGTTCCGATCAGAATCAGGTTTCCTATAAGGAAAAATTCATGCCCGCGGTACATTGGTATCCCAAAAGAAAAGCTCGCGACAAACGCGAGGCCAAACATCCTCTTGTCACGGTATCACAATTCTCCACCACGAAACGTGTCTCTAAATGAACGTTCCTACCAAGCTTGCTTGATCATATCAGCCGCCTTCTCGCCGATCATGTAAATACCAGCGTTCACGTGTCCGGTCGGCATAGTAGGCATTATCGACGCGTCAGCCACTCTCAGTCCTCTAACACCGTGAACCCTCAACTGTGGGTCCACCACAGCGTCAGGATCCTCCTTGGGTCCCATTTTCACCGTGCCGATCTCGTGATTCATCATCGAGGGCAGGTGTTTGATAGCACACCTCCAGTAATCGTCGCTGGCGAATTCGAACGCTCTGCAGCCAGGAATCTTAATATCGTGCAATCTACTTCCGTATCTCTGAAAAGGTTCGGTCTTCGATATGTTAATAGCGTGCTTAACTCCCTCCAAGATAATCTCCAGGTCAGCCGGATGGGTGAAGAAGTTAGGCTCCATCCTAGGCGGCACAAGTGGGTCCTTCGACTTCAGAGTGAGCCTTCCTACGCTCCTAGGTTTCTGAACTATAGGCCAAATCGACCATGCGTCTTGACCCTCTATCGGCTTGTACACGGTGTTGTACAGCTCGTCGGATATCCTGAGCGCTTTTTTAAGAGGTAGACCTCCGTCGGAGTGCACAGATCCAGAGACGAACAATAGTTCCAAGTCAGGTCTGCTGTCGGGTGCATACTTGGTCCTCATGAAGGCCAGAGCCTCCGGTCCGCCAGGCAGCGACAACAGACCAGTCCTGTTCACCAGATACTCGAAGAACAGTCTAGGATTGAGCAGTCTGGTTTGCAGTAGCGACACTGGCTGGTTCACCATGAAAGTCAGACCTAGGAAACCTACGTGCTCGTACATGTTGTAGCCTACTTTCGAGTCTTGGATCACCTCGATACCGAGTTCTTCCAAGTGGTCCCTGGGACCTATTCCCGATAGCATCAACAGTTTAGCAGTACACTTTTCTAAGTCGATCGTTCTTCCTGTATTCGACGCCGTAGGCTCGTTTCTTCTGGTTGATTAGGATCTTGGTGACGGTGGCACCGGTTACTATGTTCAGATTTGGTCTGTTGACACGTAGATACGCTTTCGCCGCGCTGCATCTGGCTCCTTTGTCTAAATTCGCTTGAATATAGGAGAATCCAATTTGGTCCCGGCCGTTGTAGTCGACAATATCGTAACCGAGCTGTTTGCCCGCTTTCAGGAATGCTTTCGCCAGTTCTGTGTGGTACGGCACGTGTTCAACGCACAAGTAGCCTTTGTCCCCGTGGTACGAGGAGTTCTTGATGTCTAGACACGAATACGCTTGGTTAATTATGGCAGGGTACGTGCGGGGCGTGTTAATTTCGCGTGCAGGTGCCTGGCTTTTGTTCGACTTTATTGTGGGTCATCGGTGCTTTTTTTTTGGGGCGAAATTTCAGAGAGATATCGTAACGCGATTTCGTTTCACAGAGGCACTCATTTCGTTGGTTCGTTTGCACGAGATATTTTAGAACTGTTGTTCGACTGCTGTTTGGAGAATTGGACCACACGGTACGTTCAATAATCAAATGCTATCATGTTATCAATAAAGATGTATAGTATCTCGTTTGAAAAAATTTGTTTGACCATGAAATCTCTTCTACCGTTTCATACACAAAAATACTGTTTACACTAAACAGTTTTGTCGTGTCTTGAACGTTCTGCGAGATATCATGGCGTTTTCAGTTTAAAGGGACACACTGTCTTGAAGTTTCTTGTTCAAAATGAGAAAAGAAAATTCTGTACGTATCTAATGGAAAATTAATAGTGTTAGAATTTTTATTTTATAAATTTGTACTTTATAAATGCACTACCATCTAAAAGTTTGGAATCACCTGCAAATTTACATCAATATTGGCCCAGCCATTTGAAATTGACGTTGTGCAGATCAATTCACGTTCATTTCGATCGATTTGAGTGATAAAAAATTGATAAAAGATTTTAAAAATTGCTGACTTTTTCGCGCAACTTGCAATACACAGTGATCTGAAACTTTTAGCCAGTAGTGTATGTAAATATTCTAACGAACATTGAGCTATAACAAAATTTTATATTTCACATTTGTCTCACTAGAAAAAAGACCATTCTCGTTATGACAATTTACCGGCTCTGAAAAAATAAATATCTAACACAGGATCACAATACAATTGTCTCAACCTCCTTTGTACGATATCTAACACTTTTCGTCAGTCTCTTAATTTTTCTAGCATCTCTTTACTCAATTTCAGAAGATCCATCGTCCACGTTTTGAACCAACAATGCTCGTTTATCTTTGCACACGAAAAAGTGTTACTCTACCCGCGTGTTTAAATAAATAAAAATAATACAGCGAATTTCCTAACCTGGAACGTTGAATCTCTCGCTCTTCTTGAAATAATGTAAGACGTCCTTGTAAGACCAGCCCCCGTTTCCAAGCGCGGCCCAGGTATCGTAATCCAGCATACTTCCCCGCGTGTGGATCATGTAATTAAGAGAGCTGGTGCCGCCCAGAATTTTTCCTCGCGGCCAAGAGCATTGTCGATTGATCATTCCGAGACAGGCGTTCTTCTGTGGTTCCACGTTGTAACCCCAGTTCGAGCTGGATAGTTGGAAATAACCGACGAAAATGGGAATCTGATGGCGGATACCCTCGGGTTCTCCCGCCTCCAGCAAAAGGACATTCCATTTTTTGTTCTCCGAAAGACGATTGGCGAGAACCGAACCCGCGGATCCTGCACCGACGATGATAAAATCGTACCTCTCGTTGCTCGGATCGATTCTATTCAGAACGTCCGCCGGTGGTAGGAAGTTCTTGATCGCGTCCAGGAACGATTCTGATCCTCCGTTCGAGGCCAGAAATGACAACAGCAGTATCATTTTCACGAGAGTAATCATGTTTCTGTGAAAAGAAAGAAAAAAGGATGTTTTTTTTATCACAGAAGAAGTGTTTTGTTCAACCCTTTCGTTACTATTGGCGCCTATAGGCGTTGGAGCCTTTTGGTGCACTTCTACTTTAATTTAATACTTCATTTTATCGGTCACGCACTGTCACCTTGATTTAATAAGCCGAATTTCGAAATTTTGCAGTCATGGTTAAAACTTTACCGGCAGTCACTCACGTTACGCGTTAAAATCTGCCGTAGCGAAAGGGTTAAGAGCGTGTATCGTGCTGAGGCATTTGAAAAAAGAAGTTTAGGAATTTTTTTCATATTTTTCATTTCATTTCAAAATTTTTTTCATAGATAACTGCTCTAGTAAATAAAAAGTTCCAATTTTTTCGTAGGATATACACTATCGGCGAAAAGTTTGGAATCACTGTGCATTGCAAGTTACACAAAAATTCGCAGAAAAAAGTCGAGCAGCTTTAAGAATTTTTTAACGAATTTTGTATCATTCAAATCAATCGATATGAGATAAATTGCTATTTATCTCCATAATATCAATATCAAGTCTACGAAAAATTAGTAGCAGATTCGGTACTGATGAAAATTGGGAGGTGATTCCAAATTTTTGGCCGGTGGTGTATATGTAACTTTCAGCCTTCTCCAATTTTTTGGAAAGTAAAAATGTTACAAATTTTCACGCTTCGCGTGAAACGAATTTTAAAACCGTACGGCCAAAATAAAAAATTTTGTGGTGGTTAAATCTGTCGTGCGCGTTGCGTATTAAAATCTGTCGCAGCGGAAGGGTTAAACGCGCGGTGCTTGGATATTTATGCGTTTGAATCTGTGGATACTTGGATATTTCGGTTTTTTGGATATTTGAAAGACATATAATATTATGCATAGAATTTAAGGGAAAAATTGCATTTGAAACATGTTATAATACACAGAATACAATGGAAACGCAAATTGCGTTCGAAGGAGTTTGTTTTGCAAAATAATCAATATCCAAGCGGTTCTCGAGTGAATAATTTAATACCGCTTGCTCGTTGATATTAACAAGCGAGCTTAACTATCGTTCGCCTTTTCACTGTTACGCCTAATCACATTTATATATGTAGGTCACGTATAAACGAGTCCCCGTACATTTTTATTTATTTAACGTTCCTGTTACACCGACAGACCACAGAGTTCTTGCTAGTAGAATTTCAGATTGCATATCGTAATCACCTCTAATTGTTACTTTCACTTTATCACTGCTAATTAGTATGTTTTATTCAGAGAAAAAGTTCAGTTGGTCACAAGACACAAAAAGGAAAAAAGAAAGTTAGGTCACATCCGTAGCCTAAATTGCGTCCTATAAAACAGCAAGCGATGACCAATTATAGACCAAACGCCACGTGTTTTCATTACTTACAATTAGTATATTAAGTCGTCGAATAAATTCGTGTCGTTTATCGATGTGCCATTTAGATCACTATTTCAAACGTACCTTTAAATGCCGCGAAAGAATGTAGTCACCTTCACGTTCCACAAAATTTTCCCATCTTTTCTTACAGAGTAGATGTCAACATTTGTTCTCACTGCAGAGAATATAGCAACTAAATTCACTTAATTTGTGTTTGCACGTTTTGTGTCACACGTGGTCTGGCATAGTCATAGCGAAAAATCACTTTGCTCCAATTTGAGAGTCTTTGAACGTTTCACTGGTTTTGCTTCTCTCAACTTTTCCAACTGAGCACATAATACGTCCGAACGAATCGTTTGATTTCTCGAAAGTAACTCGAAATACGAAACACATCGTAGCACGGACTTGCCCGATGACATAATATTAGAAAGAAATGTTCCTTGGCTCGTAACTGTTACGTTTCTACGACAGAATAACACGAACACCGACACAGGAAAAGTTTGCCAGGTGAGAGATACCTGGTCGACCGAGGTTAGAGACTTTCCCTGCTGATTGTCATGCTGGTTATTATAATTTATCACACCGTCGTACTGAACTATCTTTCTCATCCACACTAGTGTCACCTCTCACAAACATTCTCGAACAGGACACAATTTTTCCAAAGCAAGTTTGAATAGCTCCACCCACACTGCTTCTACAAAAGCGAAAGCAACACAGCCAAACAGAATTTGTTAGTTCTTCCTTAGTAACTATAAAATTCCCATAAATTGTTGATATTTTTGAACGAATTCGCACGAAGTTAGTTGGACATTTAATTACACGTTAAATTTAAATTAATTACACACGGGAAGATTAACGAACGCTAGATCTATCAGCGATTAACGTAAGATAGAGCGACAGATTTTCCCCAAAATGTTTATCCACATTTTTCGCAGAAAATTTCAAAAGTTGCACAGGCAGTTCGAGCAGTTTTACAGGAGAAATCTAGACCAGTCGTTTTAGCTGTCGTTCCACCAATGTCACCTGTATCCCAAATTGCACGAAACAGAGTTTTTTAGTTTTTCCTTAGTCATTGCAAAATTCACATAAAATTTGATATTATTTAACGAATTCACACGAAGTTAGTTCGACATTTAAATACACACAGGAAGATTAACGAACGCTAGATCCATCAGCGATTAACGTAAGATAGAGCGACAGATTTTCCCCAAAATGTTTATCCACATTTTTCGCAGAAAATTTCAAAAGTTGCACAGACAGTTCGAGCAGTTTTACAGGAGAAATCTAGACCAGTCGTTTTAGCTGTCGTTACACCTGTATCCAAAATTGCACCTGGTAAACCTACAATCCTACGCGTAACAACTAAACTGTACAATGTTTATATTGCAAAGAGCACGTGGTTGTGTTATTTCGATAGATCAGAAATAAGGATGTAACTGCCATTACCATAATCTTGTGTGACGTTAGAGGAACTGGAACTAGGAAGCGTGGAAACGTCGTAGCTGCCGAAACTCCTTCTGAGCCGACCCAGTGTCCACTTTCCACTTCAAGATCCACTGGAGAAATGCGCTTTCTCGCGGCGCGTTCACGTAATACTTACACACCGGGCTTGAAGAACGTTCGGTCCCCTTCTCGTATTTTCTTCTCTGTACTATCGTACATTTGTTTTAACTCCAACACGTTCCATTTTTATGAAGGGAACGCGCGTACAATGCGTGCTTAATCGCGATCACCTGTACGGAGATCTCCGGGGAATATTTTTCGACGTGCGCAGACCGACTCGACTGAATTTCGCCAGATTTATGATACCGGTTTGCGCTGACGATAGGGAGGACCTTCCATAATGCATAACATGTGAACATGTTGCGACCGTTTCGCTGAAGGGTTTTATTAGAATGTACGGAAATGAGGGACAACGAGTGGAGATTTTACGGGATGATGTTCTTCGAGCTTTTAGACAGAATGTTCCTCTGAGAAAAATTCAAAGATTTGACAAGTTAGTTACATATTGAGGTGTAAATGTTAACCCTTTAACCTGTGATTTTTTTCTGATTAATAATCAGTGATTATGCATCTAAGCGTCAGCCATTTACTGTTTTAGTACTGTATCAGGTGATAAACGCGAATCTGTTACGGATTAATTACGTTTAGTAATCATCGGTGTCGGTAAAAAATTGAAACCACTGTGCATTAAGTATGTAATATCGGATCTACCGGAAAGTCCCGTTAGCTCTGATGTACGAGAATTGCTAAACTGGAGGCTATTAAAAGCAGATAGTAAATGACTTTCAATACGCGCGGGAAATGTGTAACGAATTAAATAGTAATTAAGATAATTACCTACAAATTGCACAGTGTCTTCCTGAAACGTGACCAAACGTGTATGAAAAATTTCAAGTCTCTTGGTTTATAATTATCTAGTAATTTTTTATCCTAAAAATCGCGTAAAAATGATGTCTGCAAAGGTAATTACATTTAGCATCGACGATCTAACCTGCGATATCGCCTGTACAAGACAGGGAATGTGTTGAATTATTCCATTTTTAATTACCTGACATGTACTAGGATAAAATGACAGTTTCGCAAGTACTTTGCGAATTTCAGCAAGGGAATAATGCACTTGTAGCCAGTTAAAATTTGTGTCGTGCTTTCGGCGAGGATGCTATATCAAAACGTGCATGTCAACGGTTGTTTCAGAAATTTAAAGAGAGATTCCAGTCTCGAGATAAACCTCGCTTAGAAATGCTCGAATTTGTAACGAAGAGTCAGCAGTTTTACAAAGGCGGTATTAAAAAACTATGAAAAATACGACACTGGATCGTAGATAACCGTGGAAATTATATTGTAAACGGAGTATTTAACGTACAGCCTTGGGAAAAATATTTTTAAACGATGTAAAAACAGTTACTGAGATTAGCAAAGATTAATTTTAATTCCAATTTTCGATTTAATTTGTAAAACTGAATAAACTATAATACATCAGCTTTTCTTACTTAACCCATTTGCACCATAAGGAAGTACGAAAAATAAGGCCCTTATCACCAAATTTTTTTTAAATCATATTTAAGTAGAAAAATTGCAACAGGTAGATATTTCAGTAATTTGTACATATATCAGTTCACTTTCGTAAGAAAGAATGAATCGCAAAGATGTGGTTTACGCACATGCACTACCGGCCAAAAGTTTGGAATCACTGAGCATTGCAATTTGCACAAAAATTTCCAGAAAAAAGTCGAGCGACTTTGAGAATATTTTATCGTTCGAATCAATTGATATGAGATAAATTTCAAGTCTATAAAAAATTAGCAGCAGATTTCATATTGATGAAAGTGGGAGGTGATTCCAAACTTTTGGCCGGTAGTGTATACAGGGTGTCCCGTAAAGAGTGTAACACCCGGAAATAGGGGGTTGCTGGGGTGACTCTGAACAACTTTTTCCTTTACCAAAATGTTGGTTCGAGCTTCATTTTTGAATTATTAACGAAAAACACTGGCCAATCAGAGCGCGCGTAGAGCCCGCGTTCAGGGGCGGAGAACAGAGGCTCACCCGCGTGCGATCGAACAAATGCGTACGCGTCACTTCTCGGTTATCGATCGCTGTCAGAAAAATGTGACTTTGCACCGCTATTTTTATAAAGCTTAGAGAAATGGGTTTTTGCCGTCATTCCAACATTTGTATAAATTTTTGAAAAATTGCAATTAGTTGGAATCGCGCGCGAATGAGCCTCTGTTCTTCGTCCCTGGGCTCTACGCGCGCTGTAATTGGCCAGTGTTTTTCGTTAATAATTCAAAAACGAAGCTTCAAACAACATTTTTGTAAAGGAAAAAGTTGTCCAGAGTCACCCCAGCAACCCCCCATTCCCGGGTGTTACACTCTTTACGGGACACCCTGTATAGTGACCAGGAAAATTGAGCGTATACATACGCTAATTATGCAAATGGGTTAATGTAGTACTACCGGTGATAGTGACCAGGAAAATTGAGCGTATACATACGCTAATTATGCAAATGGGTTAATGTAGTACTAAAACGGTAAATAGCTGACGCTCAGATGGATAGTCATAAAAGAAATCATACGTCAAGGGGCTAAATATGATTACACCTGTACCTCGACTTACACCGAGTACTCGTTCTATCTGGTTTTTTTACGCGGAATAAAATCGCCTAAATTCAGTAAAGATCATAAAAAAATATATTTTCTGACCGCGTAAAAAGAGATCGCGTAAATTGATACCGCGCGAACGGAGCGATAATTTACTGCTTATAAAAAAAAAATGGCGTATAAAAAGTACCGCGTAAATCAAAGGACGAGTGTAACTAGACAGAGTAACCTAAAAAATTGCATAAAGAACGAATTAATACGTTCATGTTGCGATGTTATTTAATAACAGATTATAATTGTGCAATAAGAAAGGAAAAAAGGAAAATGTGAATCGAATTGTTTCCGAGTTAGCGTTTACAATTTGCGGTATCAAGTCGGATATTCTTAGGTCCGTTCCGAGGATCATGAACTCGTTGTTCCAGGTAAACGTCTTATGTTTCGCGAATAAATTTGCTAGGCTGTCAGCTGGTGAATAATCGCAGGCCTACACGATGCGGTTGAGCGATTCTTCAGCTGCGATCTCGGATGGAATTGGACGTGATGAGTTTGTTAAGTGGTTCTGAACGAGGAACGCGTTGTTTATGTGAATCGTACGTTGTCTGGATTGGTTAACACCGCCGATCATGACGGTGGTCATCTGCGACTGACTCCAGATGACTCATCAACGGCGCCGTGAAAACTTTCCGAAACACTTTTAACGTATGAATTACGTGTAATGAAAAATTCGTGACACTGTTTTAACCCTCTTAGTACCCTGCGATTTTCCACGGTCCTGCCAGAAATACCCGGATAAATATGCGGTTTCGAAGACATTTATTGAAATTACCATATCTTCCTTAAAAGTAAAGATAAATCGATCTATTAAAATTCTATTGAAAACGAAATGCCGAAATATCGGCTCGAGGTAATTCTCGCGAATCCCGCAAAGCCGATATTTCGGATCATGGGCACTAAGAGGGTTAACACTAGGTTTACGGACATTTCTTGTATACCTGTCTCTAATTGACGCGTGAACGAAACCGCAGATTTTCTTCAAAAAGCAACGTATTTTATTTAAAAACAACAGATTATACACTATTCACTAACAAATAAAACTATGTGGTATTATATATTTATATAAAATTTATAACAAGCGTAAGTGGTGGGAGAGAAGTGTAAACGGTTTCTGTAAGTTTCCTAGTGAAATTCGAAATGCGTGAAAATGGCGCGTTCCGTAAACCCAGCGTTAGCAACGTAGGATAAACCGTGCATTGTTCAATAATAAATAATTTTTACTTTCACCAATGGAGCGATCGTGAAAATTTCATCGTGTCGAGTAAGAATAAAATAAAATATTCGGATTTTCGTAATCTAGTATCTTCGGAAAGAGCGTTTCCAAAAGCGGAAAATATCGTCGATAGATAGAGAAATAGGCTAAAAACGAGCATTGCGAATGAAACAGTATTTCGAAACAGTTACAAATTTAACGAGAAAAATAAAATTACAAGCGTTGTGCAAAGTGTATTACCTAAAATCTGTTGTAGAATTCTGATTTCGAAGATTCAAGTGATACTCGTGAAAGATTCGATTCGTTTCACATCGAAGTACATTATAAGTACCTTTTCGAAACCTGCAGGTACTCGTTATAGGACTCGAGATCAGCTTGTATATTTTTAATGCGTTGCAAGTGTAATCGTTGAAACATTACAGCTTCTGTGAAACTCGGGTATTGAAGTTGATTTGGATTTGTGAGTTGAATTTGATCCCATCCCTAGTAACAAAGCAACCATGGAACACCGATAATAGAGCATTTAATGGGACGTGCTCTCTGAATGAACGCGTGTCCCAGTTTGAGAACCGTTGTTATACAAACAAGTGTCTACGAGAAAGTGTGAAGATTGATTTCTTGTTTAACCCCTTAATAACCGATACACACTCAGACACAAAGAAAAAAATCTCTGTACATCTCGTTAGAATTGACTTTAGCAGAGAAAGTAGCAAATAAATAATATTCACGTTATTTTTATTCAGAAATGTAACATTTAGTATTAGTACGAAGAAAAATTATTTATAGAAGTTACAAAGTGATTCGATCTACAGAAATGAATTTGAAAAGTTCTTCGGTTAGCTCTTCCATTTATTTTGTAATTATGAATTTAGAGAAAATTAAACTTTTTGGAAAATTTCCATGTGAATTCCTATTGACGGGTATTTTTTTTTTTGAAATTGCAACACATAAGTAAATTGTTCAGCTGAACTTGCACAACAAAGATCCTTATAAGTAAATTGTTCAGCTGAACTTGCACAACGAAGATCCTTTGTCGCACGTTTTTGTTTCCTTTTATGGTACTAGGAACAGGCAAATGCGTATTCAATCGATGAATTTTACGGTGTTCCAAAAAAAAAAAAATCGTAAAAAGGCTTTTACTGCTATGTTCGTGAGGTGAAAGAACAATGTCGTTCTAAACTTACGTAAAGATTTTTTCGAAACAGTTGTTAACAAAAGAGGAAACTGTTTTTTTTTTTTCATTACTAATAACTTTGGATAGAATTTTGAAAAAGCTAAAATTATATTATAAATCGTCATATTTGGTTCAAATAATATTGTTGAAAATTTCTTCTTAGAAAATCTTCGTTCACTACTAATTCATTCTCTTTTATTCGTTACTAATTACACCTTTAGATACAATTTAAAGAAATCTAAAATTGTATTATAAATATATTTATTACAATGTACAAATAATTTTGTATTTAGTTAAAATAATAGTGTTCAAAATTTCTTGCCCGAAAATATTCAATTTCTCCGACTTTTCCAATTCGTGAAACTTAAAAAAAGCGCGACGATTACGATCAGCCTAATCTTCCCCACTACGTCTAAACGCCGGTATTTATTTCTAACGGTTGTTATATCACGCATTTCGAATTCGTTAGCAATGTAAATTCGAAAGTGAAATCTTTAATAGAACGGAAAAGAAATTCTTCTCCGTCCAGAATTAGAATTCAATCTGCTTTAACAATCAATGAATAACAATATAATAAATTGCATTCTGCTCGTGTGTGTGTGTACAACAGGAAACCACTCACGTTGTAAATCGTAATTTACTACGTATTCAACTCGCTTAGACAATTCCGCGTAAGCTGCTTCTTTTTTTATTCATGAATCCATTGATTCAAATTGTACAAAAGAAACACAAAGACGGCATAGATTATACACGTTTCTGTTTATTTAGTCGGTATTTTTTTCATAATACTTTGGTCAGCGTGAATAATTAATTGTCAGTATTAAATGGCATTTTTTCAGTACAATTTTGTTTATTTGGTCGGTATTTATCTGGTCAGTGAAATTTAAATTTTTGCTTGGGTTAGGATATTTTATTATGCACACTGATCATCTATTTAAAACACTGACAAATTATTATGTTTACTAATATTTTCATGAAAAACGTTTCATTTTAAATACTGACCACTTCTTTAACCCTTTGCGATCGGTGCCGCCATAGTGGCGGCATTTCAATTTTGTTCTAGAAATCGGTGTCGCCGTTATGGCGGCATGATCTTTGTTTTGTCAAGTATCATACTTTGGAAAATTACAAAAATTAAAACGTTTTATTTTTATGCACTATAACTAGTATGTATTAAAAAAAATATATCAGTTTCAAAATATTCTGTTTTTCAATATCCTTATATATATAATAAATAAACTATGCAAAAATAACTTTGAAAATTTAAATTTGCTTCGACTAGCTGATAGTCCAACCAGAGAAATGTGCCGATCGCAAAGGGTTAAAATACTGTTCAAATACTAATCCAATAAATAGCAACCTAAAATATATACGTACAGCTTATCGAGTTAAAACAAAAATCACACTTAATTGTCATATTAAAACGAATGAAACACTTAAAAAAAAAAAATTATTCGTTAACTAAAACACTTTTATTTAACGCGACGAATCGCTTATTCCAGTTTGAAAAGTGACAAAAGTAATTTAAAGAGATCGTAGGAGCATTTTAACCTTGTCTACCGCGCTGAGTGTATAGCAATGAAACAGTCAGATTGGAAGATCGAATGTTTCAGGTAGGAAAACTTTTGAACTTAGTATTACCACATTTTTCGTTAGAATATTTTGTCAGTCGGGTATCCCCATTCTTGTTTGATCATATCGGCCAGTTTCTCTGCAATCATGAATGCGGGAATATTTGTGTGGCCAGTTGGAATTTCCGGCATTATGGAGGCGTCACCAACTCTCAGTCCTTTAATTCCGATCACCTGAAATATCGAGAAATTTCTTCAATTGCAATGTCTGTAATTTACAGCGGTATACAGTCTATAGATTCGCAATCCAAGTGTAATGAATATCAACGAAATAATTCTCAAACATTTGTCACATTTCCTACGGTACTCGTGCACTATGGAAAATCTTTTTCACTGCATAATAGATTGCCCGAAAGGTAACTTTCACAGGTATTATAATTTTTTTTTACACTTTTCGCAGTATTTATGAACTATAAAAATGTCCCTGCTGGAATACAATACATAGCTGAAAGGTAACTTTCGAAGGAATTATCATTCTTGGTATATATTTCTAGAATTTCTCACAATTCCTGCGAACAATGAACATCTTTCCTGCTAGAATATATTGCGTTGCTTTGAACGTAACTTTGAAGAGAATGGTAATGAAACTTGATTGATTTTGTCGTTATTTCTTTTTTTTTTTTTATGCTAAACATCCTGTTTTTCTAGTTTTTCAATCTAGATTTTTCCAGGAAAAGCATTAAAAGCTAAATATTAGTCAGGCTTGTAAGAATTTAAATCTATGGTTCTTGCCACTATTAACACTTTGCAGCCAATATCATTTCTTGTGCAACTAAAAATGTAAAGTTATCACTTTAGTGCCAATCATATGTTCAGACCTTTCTTCCGGTCAAATTTTGTCCAAACTGAATTGTTATAATTTTTTTAAAAACTGGGCCACTGTATATAAGTTTGTTCCAAAAAATTGTAATTGCAAGTTTTCATGGTTTCGAGAGATATAGTAGGAATAATTTCGTTCTAAGAGAAGTGTAACATTAAAATTCTTTTTCTAAATAGAATCTCTATTTTTCTACGGTAAAATTCCATGGAATGACGAATTTTAAGTAACTAGTACCACATTGATAAAGAACCTTTTAACACTAGAACTACCAGCCGAGTCAAAATGACCCATTAGTGACTTTCCGGAAATGAATTTTTATGTAACTGAACCGTGATTGGAAAATTCGATTCATATCAATTCAAATAGAAGCATACTACTGACCAGAGTGAACACTGATAATACTGACCAGTATTGAACATTCACGTTTTTTCGAAAGATGCTAATGGGTCATTTTGACCCGGTCGGTAGTTCTAGTGTTAATACCTTTTTACTCAGAATTAATAATTTTAGACCGTTAAAAAATCACTACACCGGAAATCCAATCATCACACGTACCTTCAAAGTAGGATCCACCACAGCCGTTTTATCCGTCAGAGGTCCCATCTTACAGGTGCCGCTGTAGTGATAAATGGTCAGCGTCACGCTCCTCAGATTGCACTCCCAGTAATCGTCCGAGTCGAACGGGTACTTTTCACAGCGAGACACTGTCCTGTTCAAGAGCTTCACGCCCAAGTTCCTCATAGCCTTCGTCTCGGACACCTTGATCGCCGCCCTGATCCCTTTCACCAGTACTCGAACGTCATCCGGGTGGCTCATGTAATTCGCGGTTATCTGCGGCTTCACGTTCGGGTCCTTGGACTTGAGCCTCAGCCAACCGTGGCTCTTCGGCCTCAATATCATCGGGAACACTCCCCACGAGTAGGTACCTTGGAGCCACTTGAATTTGTCCCTGATCTCCTGGTTCAGCCCGAAGTTCTCTAGCGAGGCTTGTATCGCGTAGATCGAGCTTGCCAAGGATATCAGCTCCATATTCGGGAGACCGTGTTTCTTGTCCGGATTGTCCACGTCCAAAAAGGCGATTCCCTCGCAGCCGCCGCTGATAGTCAGAGGTCCTCTCCCCTCCAGAAAGAAGTCCCTCATGTACGGCTGCGAGATGTCCAACACTTCGAACACGGCTATGCTCACCGGCTGGTTGACCGTGAACGTCAGTCCACCGTAGGCTATGTGGTCCATCAGGTTATCACCGACGCGCGCGTCTTTGATCACGTCGATACCCATTTTCTTCAGATGTTCAGCGGGCCCTATTCCAGATAACATCAGCAACTGAGGGGAACCTATAGCCCCGGCAGACAGAATCACTTCCTTGTTCGCGTACACTCTGATGCGCTGACCATGCTTCACGAATTCTACCCCTGTCGCTTGTTTCCTGGCTTTGTCTATCAGGACCTTGTGCACCATACTTTTCTTGGACACGTGGAGGTTCCTTATACGTCTATTGTGCAGATAGGCTCTGTTGCTGCTCATACGGTAGCCTCGATAGAGGGATCCTTGTATTTGAGAGAAACCCATCTGCTCCTTGCCGTTGTAGTCCACTAGGTTGTAGCCTAGCTCCTGGCCACCTTCTAGGAACGCGTTCAGCAGAGGCGTCCGGAAAGGCGCGTGATCCAAGGACACTGGTCCGTTGGTTCCTCGGTACGTTCTGTCCTTTCTCGCTTCTGGAATCTGTAATAGAGATATTTGGGCAATTTGATTGATTGGTGATTGACGAGATAGTTGGTAATGCGTAGGAGTCTAAGATTTGTCTAAAATTGATAGAAATTACTTGAAAGTGTCATATTTATGTCGAGTGCCTCCTTATACTCGAGCAGTTAGACTACCTCTGTTCCTTTTGTTTAAGATCATGTTTTACGAGATATCAATCCTAATATCAAGCTACTGAACACCTTCCCTCCACCTCGACGCAATATTTCAAACTCTTCGTCACTTAAAAAACTATAAACATTCAGAATTGCTAACCTGTACGTTCTCAGATTTCTTGAAGTACTTCAACACGTCCTTGAACGCCCATCCCTCGTTCCCCAGCTCAGCCCATCTGTCGTAGTCCCAAGCGTTGCCTCTGGTGGCGATCATATGATTCAAAACACTGCTTCCACCCATCACTTTGCCTCTAGGCCATTTGCACCTCTTTCCTTGCATCCCCGTGCAATAGTTGTCCGACGGTTCAGTCTCGTACTTCCAATTGATATCGTCGACAGCTTGCAGGAAGCTGGTCAGCAGTGGTATATCCATGTAGAGCGTTTCTTCCGCGCCAGCTTCTATCAGCAACACGCTGAAGTCCTTGATCTCGCTCAGTCTAGCTGCGATAGCGGCTCCAGCAGTTCCAGCACCGACCACGATGAAATCGTACCTGGAACCAGGCTGCGGTGTCACGTCAGGCTGCCCGTTCTCTTGGTATAATTGGTCTCTGAACGCGAAATTCAGCGCACCTATTCCAACGCCAAGCACATTGTCAGCCGGGGTCGTGTTGAAATTCATGGGTCCATAGATGTTCCGGTATCGTGTCTGTTTGCCGTTCGACCGAGACTGATCGTGAAAAATGACGGTGTTCAGGCAGAGCAGAAAGAGGAAGCGCGAGATGAAGGCTATCGCGGAGTACAGGTTCATGTTGGAAGATTTTCAGCGGGGAAATGGGTAATAACATATCACTCGGTTGCAGCTAGGTATATGTACTCACGCATACCGACGCAGCCTGTGTGCATGCGTATGCATATGGATCGAATGCATATTGTCCGGGTGAGCTCAATTGGCCAATAATTTCGGTTTGTTATTTCGTACATCAATGAATCATTTTGCGTATAATGGAAAGTTTGTTTCACATTTTATTAAGATCGACGATAGATGTGCATTTCTCTATTTATGTACTCGATTTTTTTTTATTTTGTATATTTTATGTACGACTGCACAACGTGTTCGTGAATTTTGCAAGAATACTTGCATTTCGCCTCAGATTACCTTGCAACATTACGTCACACCCTTGGCACGAATTGCAATCGGGATAAATCACATGGATTTTCATATATATATATTTTTTACAATATACTCGACTTTTAACTTGATCTTCAGCTTTAACTTTTATATCGTGAAATCAAAAATATTAAATACAAATTATATACAGTATATTTCAAATTATTCCTTCTTTTTATTTTTATTTTTTTTTTTTTTTTTGCAGTAGATTTAATATATCTCGTTAACCTAGTTTTTTGTAGTAACTTAACGTGAAAGGAAAGAGTAAAAAATTCATGCAACATATTAATCGAAAATTAACTGATATAATTTTCGTGTTATTTGAAAGTATTAATGTTCATGTGAATTCTGCAGAATAAAAGTTTAACGTTACATAGCTGATATGAAACTCGTTTTACCGAAATATTTTAACTTTTTGTAAAAATGCTTGAAGTGTACGTGAAGGGGAACGTTACAAAACATCCAGTTTGAAAGGGAACCAGATTTCCCCCCATGTTTTCGTTTAAGACGCGCTTAAAAGTTCGTCAGTTAATTTCTGAGAATCTTTCAAACACAGATAGGTGTCATTTCTACGATATACGACCTTGTTGATCCGCAGAAATGACTTGATTCGAATATTTAAAGAAACCAAGGTGAAAACGAGTCATTGGTAATTTCTTGCATTAAAGAAAAAAAGTAGATTACTCAAGTAAGGAAAACCAGTGAACCCGTCATTTCAGTGGACCAGTTATTCAATATTTTCCTCGTCGTTTAATTTGCCTCCAAAATAAGTTATGCTAAAATGCATTTTACCGGGCAGAAACTATTTAACTCGAGTTTATTAATTATAACCACGCCTCCAAGGTTCAAGTTGTGACACTTTTGGTAACCGGCTGGTGAAGGATTTTACTGCGACAAATTTTTATTTTTCTTTTTAAATTATTGATTTTACAAGCATATTTTATACTTTTAATTATTTTTTAGTGTTGCGGAAATGTGTACTATTAGTAGTCAAAAGTTCGGAATCATTTGCTTCGTTTTATTCATTTATTTTTTGTTTTCATTTTGGAAGTCACGGGGGTGTGATTTAATTGTTACACGAAGGTTTTTAACGGTGGTATATATTTATTAAAATCAACACTTAAACTATTTAATATGTAAAAGTAAAAGGCACGCAGTACATGGTAAGAGAAGCTACGACAAAAGATCTCGTGCCTTTTTCGGGTCTCCCTTAAATAGCCCCTTTTGCCCTGGGAAAGTCTGAGGAAGTGGGGGCGCGGGCCTATATTGCCAAGGCAATACTTTTGTCCTCGAGGACAAAGAGACCCAGAGATGTTTGAAAAACGTCTCTCGACTCTTCGCCGCGAGGGCCAAGAGTTGCCAGGCCTAGGTACAGGTGTCCCTCAATTGACGCGGAGTATCCGTTCCACGTGGATTCGTTTTACGCGAATGAGAATCGCGTAAATGAAGTCTGTCGCCACAGCCTTATCGATGCTTTTTCATGCAAGTAGAGCAACGTAAAGTACTTTGATCCTTATCTCATCCAGCACTGACGCGTTTCAACATCGCCGAATAAGTTACTGTATACATTAGTTACTTTTGAAACTTCTAGGAAAATTTATTTTCTGTCCGCGTAAATTAAGATCGCGCACAAAAACTATCTCGTAAATTGTGTTACAATTTACCGCGTGAAAAATGTGCCGCGTAAATTGAGGGACCATCTGTACGTAGGCCCCCCAGTGGCGGTCGCCACCGAGAAATCTTTCTATTTTTGTGAAATTTGTAATTTTTTAAAATTCCGAATTTTTTCGTAGTTTACGTCAAAATTGTTTTCCTGCTTGGAGTGCATAATGATTTCAAAATTTTTACTAATAAACCGATATTATTAGGTCGTAACATGTCCGATTTATTTTTTCGAGAAATATTTGTCTTTGGAGATGTTTTAAAATGACAACTTCAAGGGATAGACTTTCTTTTGTCAGATTCAGTCTTCATTTGTTTTGTTTACGTTGCTAATCTTGCTTTTAATCGTCTTGCTTTCAAACACGAATCAACGTGATTTTCGCGTACTTTTTTTATATGAATGGAAAAGTGGTTATAACGCAGCATCAGCTGCTCGAAACATAAATGCTGCATTCGGGAATGATACAGTTAACGAACGTACAGTGCGTCGATGGTTCGAAAAATTCCAAGCCGGAGATGAAAGCCTCGTTATTGAAGCACGCGGAAGACCAGAGCCGTCCGTTAACGACGATCAGTTGCAGATTTCTATCGAAGCAAGTACGCGACAAACAGTTAGAGATTTGGCACAAGAATTCAGTGTAAGTCCCATGACAATTTCACGTCACTTGAAATTGATTGGGAAAGTGAAAAAGCTGGACAAGTGGGTACCACATGGACTTAACGAACGGCAGAAGCTCCAACGTCAAGACATATGCAATTCACTGCTAATCCGAAATGATAGGGACCCGTTTTTGGATCGCATTGTCACTTGTGATGAAAAGTGGATACTGTATGACAATAGACGACGTTCTGCCCAATGGTTGGATGCAGATGAATCCCCACGACATGTGCCAAAGCCAGTCTTGCATCCAAGGAAGACAATGATCACAGTATGGTGGTCAGTGGCTGGTGTAATTCACTATAATTTCTTAAGGACGGGTGAAACAATTAATGCGGAGAAATATTGTGCCGAAATTGAAGCAATGCACCAGAAATTGCGGGTGAAACAACCGGCATTGGCCAACCGAAAGGGCCCAACTGTGCTTCATGATAATGCTCTCGACTGCATGTTTCACAAATAACGGTGCAAAAGCCGAATAGCTTAAAGTATGAAACTCTGCCTCATCCACCATATTCACCTGACCTGTCGCCTACTGATTATCATTTTTTCAAACATTTAAGTCATTTCCTCAACGAGAAAACGTTTATGAATCAAGAGACTGTCGAAAATGCCTTTAAACAGTTTATTGTCACCAGACCTCTGAATTTTTATAAAAATGTGTGGAATGTAACGGTTCTTATTTTGATTAATAAAATTTAATATTAAAGAAGTTATGATCGTTTAAACTTACCGCTAAAAATCGGACATTTCATATGTTACGACCTAATATTTTAATCCTCTAAATACATTGTAACAATAAGCTAAAAATCCTGAACTCAAAAATAGCCTTTCACTACGTGTTCGTGTCATAGTGCGTTGCTTTAACACCCCTCTTTACCCTTGAACCTATGAAAAAAACAGTCACCTCTTTTTGCTAAGCTTAAGATTCCTACATTTTGATTAATAAAATTTAATATTAAAGAAGTTATGATCGTTTAAACTTACCGCTAAAAATCGGACATTTCATATGTTACGATCTAATAGTAATACAAATTTTTTATTATTCCTGCATAAATTTACATAATAAAAGAATATGTAGCATTCTAGTTACGCATCAATCGTAACAAATTGATACCTTCTGTCGTTCACAGAACTGAGTCGACGAATATTGCGTTTGCAAAAAGTTGTCATCCAGAGTATTTACTTCTGGATTGTCGTGCATTCATAATGATTAATGGAGTTTTACAACGTGGAAGTGACGCAACGAAGTATGGCACGTAAACGATACACTTTCACCTGAGAAAAAGAATGTGTACACGTAAAAAAAGAAACGAAAAGTCGAGGAAAGTTCATAAAATAAAAATGATCAAAATTGAGGAAAATTAAATTCCTTAATATCATATTGATTAGGCCTTGCAAAATCTACAAGTTCATAAAATTAGTCACCGGTGTAGGAAAAGGTACTGAAACGATTTTTTAAATGCAAAATAGTAATAAACAAATGTTTGCCAGTTTAGAACCAGGAAAATATACGTGACGAACGAACAGATACTGATGGGATAAGCTTGTAACCACAATCAGTTACGAAATAAACAGGATATACATACGTAGATTATCAATATAGCTAATTGAAAAGATTTCCTGAATTAATGTGGAAACAGTATAGGAAACATTTTATTCTCTTCAGATACAAATATATTTATATTGCTAATATTGTTAATATTATTTTTTTAGTATTAGCATATTATCTACAGAATATAAATTTATCAATTACATTTTTAGGTTTCTTGTTCGAAATATCCATTTATTTCAACATTTTTGCTTCTTAACCCTTTTTTCACTCGAAACTGTTACAGTTATTATATAGATACTTTTCCTAGAATTTCGGAAAAATGGAGATTTTTTCTAGTAATTTTTATAATTTTAATAATTAATACAATACAACGTGTATTATAAGTCTGGCAATCTGTATTTAATACATTCGCAATATACATTTTCTGAATTGTATTAAACAAACCAACATGTGTTTTAACTAAAAATTAATTGTTACTTATTACTTAGGTTTTTCCTGAAACGTTCACCCGGCACATTTGATTAAAACGTTAATTTTATTGAACGTAAAAATTATTCATTTGGAAAAATTCTGTTCGACTTACTGGCTACAATAAACTCTCTTACAAAATCCAACTTCACAACGATACTACGATTAAATTAACAAATTTTATAACAAAACTAACAAAACCCTTATATTAACAAAATTTATATGTATAAGCAAAGTATATACACACATTCAACATATATCACAATGCAGATATTATCGCTCAACTGACTCACAAGACACAATTACTCAATCAATCTTATTTAACAAATGTACACGTATATCGTATCAAAATCAACATAACAGTTTTAACACAGTTCGTTCGTGAAAACTTCTCGTTCACAAACTTCTCGTAGACTCCATCGCTAGCCAATCGTCCTTAATAATATCAGCCCCTTTCTCACCGATCATAATCACCGGAGCATTCGTGTTCCCGCTGCAAATGGTCGGCATGATCGATGCATCGATCACTCTTAAACCATCAATCCCGTAGACCCTCAATCTAGGATCCACGACAGCAGTAGGGTCACTAGGAGGTCCCATCTTCGTGGTTCCAACTGGATGATATATGGTCATCGAGATATGTCGAATATGACACTCCCAGTAGGCATCCGAGGCGAACTTCAAGTGCTTGCAACCTGGCAGTTTAATTCGATGCACTCTAGAGCCGAACTGCTTGAAGACTTTAGCCTCGCTGACTCTCATCGCGATTTTAGCACCTTCCACCAGGGTAGCAATGTCCATCGGGTCAGAGAAGTAGTTGGCGTTGATCATTGGACTGTGAAACGGATTGGAGCTACGTAGTCTAACTGTGCCTCGCGATCTAGGCCTGAGCAATAGAGGCATTATGGTCCAGGCGTCTTTGTTCGCTATAGGTTTGTAGACTGTATTGTAAACCTCGTCAGTGATACCCAGGACCTTCTTCACTTGGATACCAGAGTCAGAATGAATGGACGCTGGTGCCATGTGCAGTTGAATGTCTGGGTAATCCATCGATCTGTTGGCAAATTTCGTATTGACGAAAGCGTAGCCTTCGACACCGCCTAGAGTGGTCATTGGCCCTCTTCCATTGGCTACATAGTGCATGGTCACTGGAACAGCTTGAAGACGATTTTGAACGATGGATACCGGTTTGTCGATGAGAAACGTCAAACCACCCATTCCAACGTGATCCTGCAGATTATCACCCACTCTGAGGTCCTTAACCACCGGTATTCCCAGGTGACGTAGGTGTTCTTCAGGTCCTATGCCGGAGAGCATTAAAATCTGCGCACTGTTAATGGCTCCAGCTGAAAGGATCACCTCCTTCTTTGCCCTCACGATTTGCCTGCGTCCATCTCGGACGAATTCGACTCCGGTAGCTTTTATGGTAACAGGATCGACGAGGATCCTCGTGACGTGAGAATTCATAGCGATGTGGATGTTTGGACGGAGCCTAATTGGACGTAAGAACGCCTTCGCCGTGGAGCACCTGCTGCCCCTGCGAATCGTTCCCTGAGCTATCATGAAACCAGTTTGCCTCTCTCCGTTTATGTCCCTGTTCTCGTAGCCAATCTCGGTTCCAGCTTGTACGAAAGCTACCACTAAAGGTGTCTTCCACGGAGATTCTTGCACCGTTAAGTAACCGCCGGTGGAGTGATAGGGACTCTTCTGCAAGTAAGGATTCCTGTTGTCCTCGGACTTTTTGAAGTAATAGAGCGCTTGGTTGAATCCCCAGCCAGGGTTGCCTAGAGACTCCCAGTAATCGTAATCGTGCCTATTCCCTCTAACATAGAGCATGTAATTGAGCACACTCGAGCCACCTAGAACTTTGCCTCGAGGCCAGTTGCAACGACCACCGTTCATGGCTAAACAGGCTCTTCCAGTGGGCTCTGTTTTGTATTTCCAGTCTAGCTTGGTCAGCTGAAGATAAGCTGCCAGAGAAGGCACGTCTGTTACTTCGTTCTCATCGGGACCAGCTTCTAGCAGTAGAACCTTCCAATTTGGTACTTCTGAGAGTCTGTTGGCAACGACAGCTCCAGCTGATCCTCCACCTATCACTATGAAATCGTATTCCGGGCGCAGAGGGTACCTGTCGATCGGTCGACTCTCGGGATCGAGTTGATCGTATCGATAGTAGGACAGGCCAGCTATCAGCAGGGGAATTAGCCATAAACTTGTGCCTACCAGGCCCAGGGCACCCTTTAAGGCTGACGTGACCACGATCGTACTGAAAACCATATTTCTTTCGAATTGATAGTTTTTCAAATTGGAGGAATGTTGTTTCAGATTTTTTGGTTGTTTTGAACGGTTTGTATGTCATTACGCAAGATGTAGCTTTCACCGTCAGAGAATGTCTGGTGGCCGCGTGCCGATCTTCTGAATACGGTGTACTTTGAATGGCACGTGGAAGTTTATGTTCTTCATTGTGCCTTTGGAGTTTCTGTTTGCTCGTTCATGGGGAGTGTCGTCTTCCTGTAAACAGATGAGCAAGGTGTACGTGAATTGGGCTGTGGTCGTCATTAGCTAAAAAGGAGTCTCGTTGGGGAATGAATGTGGCAATTAATTTAACAGCTTTTCATTTTCCTAAGTTACTTTTTTTTTATTCATTTCAGCTCGAAATTAAGTTTAGAAGAATTAGAAGATATATACATCTAGAAGAATTAAGTTCGAAATTACAATGACGAGTCACGCTTGTAGTGCAAATTTTGCAAAAGAAATATTTGAAATTTATTTTATGTAATGTATCACCCGAATTTTTCTCATTTTTATTATTTAGATGAGTTAAATGTTATGTGAAAGCAAGCATGCACTTGTTGCATATGCTTTTTACACGCATTTTAAATTTCAAGCGCTTTAAATCAAACTGTTTTTACGGCAGATTAGATCCATTTAAACAATTTCACGGTATTACCGTATCTTGACAGACATAATTATCGGGTTTCACTCATCAATAATAACATCAATTATGCCACGATGCATTGCATGAAAGCAGTGAAACAAAAGACCTACGAATACAAGCAAAAACTGTTCCGATTCGATACGCCATCTTATCCATCCACATTCTCTCGTAATTACCTCGCATACCAACCAGCTAAACTCCTACCGGTTCACTTATCGATATTTTATAGAGTACAGGTATATGAATACACAACACTGGCAATTATATGATTAATTAAGCCTGCGATTAAGACCAATTTTTCCGGTAAACAAAGAATTCCTTGAACCACTAACGTGCCATACTTCGCAAATTAAGGAAGCAGAACTCTTCACCTATCAGTTTCTTCCATTCTCGTAGAAAACAGATATCTGCACATGTGTTACCTGATAATGAATCAATCTCTCTTGTTGGAAATTTACACGATTGATTAAAATTGCAGTTAACGATAATTCTTCTTGCAAACGAAGACTTCTTGGAACCGTTAAGCTCTTCCTTACACAGCAATCCTTGTAAAAGAGAAAAAATAGCACTTTTAACAGTTCACTTATCAATCTTTCTTCTTCCCTTAAAAATTAGTTACCGAGATATGTAAGCTAGCAATGTGTCAACTTCTCCCATTCAACGGAGTTACATTTAACCCTTTCACTGCTGTTGTTGCCTATGTGGGTCTTTAAATTTTCTCGCGCTGTGCTGCTGGCGCTTTTTGGCACCCTTTCACCTCAACTTAAGCCTTCAAAAGTAAATTCAAAAATTTTCAAAAAATGAAAACACTCCGAAACGAAAGATTTCCAGCCACGATAGAACGTCTACCGTCTACCGAATGCGTCATGTGTTAAAATCTGGCGCAGCGAAAGGGTTAAGAACAGCTCTTTCTTCGAAACAAAACACAATCAACCGCTAAACTACCCACGTATATATCAAACGTCACCGATCGAACAAGAAAAGAGCAGCAGAACTCCTAACAGTTCACTTATCAGTTTCTCCAACTCTCTCCACTCCTTCTGTATCCAATTTCGCACGAATTAAGGACGATTGTTCGGCAAACAAAGCGGTGTTTCGAGCAGTTCGTGTTCCTCCTGCACAATCCTCCGCTCAATCTGTATCTTTGGAACGGCGGAACGTTTAGCGTTTTCCCGGTTGAGCAAGAGGATAGGAAACGATCGGCGATGAACTCGGGCTAGATCGTATAACGTGCAAATCCGGGCGAACGACGGCGGAAGGAAGAGATTGGGGAACGGCAGAGGCTGGTTTTAATTGCGGCCACGTGGAAACACGATCGGCTCGGCTCGATTTAACGCGGGTGTCACGGGTCGTGGCGTGTCGGTTAATTCCCGCGTAAGCCGGCCAGCAAATTAACGAAGTTATGTCGTTTGCCGGCGGAACGGTGAGATGGTGATCTCATAATGGGGAAAGGTGAAAGTGTTGCGCCGACGTAAATCTCTGCCTACGTTCGTTTTCCTTCCACTCAGGCCTCTCTCGTGATTACGTTACTCGGTCCCTCTCTTCTCTCTCTCTCTCTCTTTCCTTCTCGATTTTTAGAGCCTTGGTGAAATACACAACCTGCCCTCGCGTTGCACGAGGTCTTGCTGACCGTGGCAAAGATCTCGAGGAACGATTCAGTGGCAAGGGTACGTACCTGGTGATTTGAAAGTATCGTTAGCAATTTTTGTATTGCGATTGGTGTCAAGGGGGACATATCGTATCGATATTTTTAGTTTGTCCTGTAACGACTTGAAAAAGTTCTGTAAAGGTCGCGTTTAACTGGACAGCGATAAAATCAGGCGACTCGGATTACGTTTGGTACAGGAAATATACCTAATTTACGTATCAAATGTGAATAAACAAGAAAAATGTGAAATATATATAGTTGAAAGTGTGCATATTTATACAGAATTCCTTTCGTGGAACTCGTGTACGATAGAAAGTTTGCTACGGGTCAAAATTGACCCTGCATTCGTCTCCCGCGTCCGTCTAAAACCGTTCGCCTTCCGAGGGTTAAACGGACACATTGTGTGTAACTTAATGTGCTACGAGAGTCTAGTAATTTTTGTGGGGGAAATTAACACTAGAACTATCGACCGGGTCAAAATGACCCATTAGCATCTTTCGAGAAAACGTGAATGTTCAATACTGGTAAGTGTTATCGTTTGTAACTTTCCGAATTTATTTTTATCGATATGAATCGAATTTTCCAATCATGGTTTACTTACGTAAAAATTCACTTTTGTAAAGCCGGTAATGTGTCATTCTGACTCGGCTGGTAGTTCTAGTGTTAATAATCTTGTAACGACTGCGATACCATTTTAGACAATAGGAAGTAAAATAGTAAAATAGAGTATACTGGAGCAAACTAAAACTATGGAATATACTGTAGGTGGAAAGATTTTTAGACCCATATCTAGTACGATTCCTATATTTCGACTGATCTTTCAAAATAATCCATACAGTTATCAAGATAGTGTAAATGTTGTGAATTAGAATTAGACCATGGACGTGAAAAGTGAGAGAAATATAATTGAAGGACGATTGTTGCAATATGTTTGTAGTATTTAATGAGCTTGAACCATTAAACCATTGCTGATGTCGCAAAGAACAGTTGAACGTGTACGAGGATCGATCTCTCCTTTATTTGGGTTAATAGGTTCTGGAATGAGTTTTTCTAGGTTTTCGCAGTGAATAAATGGTTCGTAGTAAATTGTGTGGGAGGCAATGGAGTGGGATTTCTTTTATGGGCGACGTAAATTTCCGTGTACTACTACTTGGTAAAGTGGATAATATGGATTGGTTAATGAAAATTTAAAACACTTAGTCTTATTGTCTGAAATTGCAAAGAATATATGAATCAAAGCTTTCACTTTAATTATATGTACATTCATTTGGGAATATATTATTAATAATTTGTTAAATAACATTATT